ACAACCAATTTTCCCCCCCCCCCCACCCCCCCACACCGCCCCCCCCTCCAGCCTCAGCCAGTCCTTCAGACACAGACCCAACCAAAACCTCCCGTATCACCGACCGTCCAAACCCCGGTCTGATTAGGAAACGTTGGGATGATTTATTGAACGTTTGCCTGACGGTGAGGCGGGAGTCGGTGTCACAGCAGCAGCAGCAGCAGCTCTGATCCTGACAGTGAATATTAAAGAGCTGAAGTGTAAAATGGTCACGTGACTTCATAACGGCTGCAGCACGTCATAAAACATGAAACATGGATTATCGGGATTCTGGAATTTTCCGGCTCCTCGTCGGTGAGTTGCCGGTGCAGTTACGGGGCCGGGGCTTCATGTTGGACCTCTTTCATGAATGAAGTGACATTAAAGACTGACTTTGTCGACAGTCTTTACTGTTGTCGTGAAGGAAACACGGGAGAAACGACCGTAAACTATCGGTCTGTGTCGGTTCTCAGTCATTCAGTCATTTGATCCAAATATGGTGACATAAAGGGCGGGAACTGGACGGGAATGAACGACTAGATTTTCACAGACACCAACAAAAATATTTCATCTTCTTTATTTCTCTGTACACTCTGTGTACTTTTTTTTTTACTCTAAACCCTGTCATCTTTCTGTACCAGGACTGTCGTTGCTAACGTTAGCTCTGGGGTCTGTACCAGGCCTGTTGTAGCTAACGTTCGCTCTGGTCTCTGTACCAGGGCTGTTGTAGCTAACATTAGCTCTGGTGTCTGTCCCAGGACTGTTGTAGCTATCGTTAGCTCTGGTGTCTGAACCAGGACTGTTGTAGCTAACGTTGGCTCTGGTGTCTGTACCCGGACTGTCGTTGCTAATGTTAGCTCTGGTGTCTGAACCAGGACTGTTGTAGCTATCGTTAGCTCTGGTGTCTGAACCAGGACTGTTGTAGCTAACGTTGGCTCTGGTGTCTGTCCCAGGACTGTCGTTGTTAACGTTAGCGCTGGTGTCTGTACCAGGCCTGTTGTAGCTAACGTTGGCTCTGGTGTCTGTCCCAGGACTGTTGTAGCTAACGTTTGCTCTGGTGTCTGTACCAGGACTGTTGTAGCTAACGTTAGCTCTAGTGTTTGTGTACTTGGAGTTGATGCTCATCCGTCCGCAGCAGGCGGCCGTGGCAGCAGTCCTAGTGTGAGTGGTCGGACAGATGGCAGGTGGAGGAGCGTCAGGTGAGCGCTCCTCTGAGTACAAACTGCTCAAATCTACTGCAGACTGTGTACTTCGTACTCCAGAGTACTGCATGTACTGTGTATACAGTCCAGTACTGTGTACCTGTGTTTTTCCCTTCTCCTGTTCAACTTCGTCATTTTTAATCAATCAGATGAGGTCACGATGACATCACGATGACATCACCACTCCTGATGTGGCTCAGTGTCGTAGCCTGGGTTTGGGTTTGATATTAAAATTCACTCCTGAGTCACGAGGTGTCTTTGGTCACATGTATACAACCTAAGGCCCACGGGCTGAATTCGGCCCACCACCTCATTTTAGATGTTCCGTTGAGTCGTTGAGTTTGACGTAACACATGTTACCTCTGGTGTCTGTACCAGGTGACTAATCTGTAACAGAAAACCTACAGCAGACTAGAGCAGATGTGTTTAAATTCAGCTGGAAATTTTGATCAATCTGAACCAAAGTAGGTTTGAAATTCAACGTCAGATTCTTGAGTCAACGTGTCGACATCCTGTGAGTGGAGTGAGAAATATATGACATACATAAATATAAAACCAGACAGATAAAGAATAATCTTTACACTATTATTATCAGAGAATTCCGTCTTTGTGGAGTTCTGACGGATGTTGAAGGATTTGTTAATGAAATAATTAGATTGCGATGAAACGTCTTCGTCTCTGAAGACGCACAGATAAAACAGGACAACGTTTTGGAGACGTTTCCACTGAGCCCCTGCTGGTCTGAACTGTATCTGCGTCGCTGTTTAGCTGCTGTTTGAGCAGCGAGGCTAACAGCTGTCGTACGACACTGAACATACGGAGGGAAAATCAGATTATCGTCGCAGCGCTGTTCTGAAATGTGTTGCAGATCACATTCATTATCATCATCAACAACAACAACAACAACAACAACAGCAGCAGCAGGCAGATTTGTAGCAGTGAGAACACAGACGGCGTGGACCGCTGCCTCCGCTGGTAGATCACCGGTGTCACACGGGCAGAGCTGCACCTCACGCTGTCCACCACCGGTGGCAGAGCTTTGATTCTGATGGAGTCAACGTGTCACAGTGACCCCCCCCCGGCCCCCACTGGTACTGATTACTAGTGTCTGGTCTGAGAGACTGTACCATGTGTTTACTGGGAGGCTTGATTAATTTGGTGGGAGGAGGAGGAGGAGTGAGTTGTTGTTGTTGTTGTTGTTGTTTTTTTCCAGCTCCAGTGGCTGCTTTATGGCGTGCCGTAATGGGAGGCGCCGCTCCTTCAGCTCCTTCAGCTCCTTCAGCTCCTTCAGCTCCTTCAGCTCCTTCAGCTCCTTCAGCTCCTTCAGCTCCTTGTGTATATAATTAGTCACCAGTAAATGGGAGCTAATGGAGAATGACTTAAAACTGCAGCCAAATACGGCAGCTGGCTGTGAACACCAGTGATTCTCTGCCTGGTTTACGGCTCGGACCAGTTGACAGTTGGAGCTGGTTTTGGAGGGAAAAGTCAAACGGACAAATATCATCGTTTGTCCTTTTCCTTTTCAGACGATCTTTGACTTTGAAGTTCATCGATGAGTCGGAGGTTTGATGTTCAGAGACAGGTGGACGCTGGGTAGAAGAGTTAAACTCTTCTCAGTGGACGCGGACTTTAGCTCCAAGGCTAACAGCCGTATCTGTCAGTACAACACGCTAATTCTTTACGACGAGTCTGAGTCTGTGAGAAATGATGTGGATCAGCGGGACGATAATCTCCCAACATTTAATTAAGTATTAGCCTCCCGCTGCTTATCGGACTAAAAAATTAACTGAATTCCCTAAAGATCAAACGCTTGTTTGATCTAAATACAGAGGAGAATTTTACACACACACACACACACAGGCTGTGGCCTCGGAGCGTTTTGTAAAACGATTCAACTCTTTGCCAGGTCACATTTACGAATGTGAAAATTGAAGTGTTTCGCACTTTTTTTTCCGTTAACAACTAGTTTTGAAGTGATGAATAAGTACCACGTAATCCAAGTAGTTGGTACTTCAGTTTGAGTATAATGTGTTTTTGAAGAACGTTAACGTTGAGATTGTTTTTTGCAGGTCATGGTTCTGTAACCTTTGACTCATTAGCCTCACCGTTAGCCTGTTAGCAATGATTCCCCACAATGGACCCGATGTAGGACAGAGATCCATCGGACCAGAATTTTTAGGCAGATACTGATAAGTTCTTTTACCACGAAAATCAGTGAAACCAATTTTTTATTTACGTTTCACTGAATTTTCCGCTTTCTTGCTAACAGCAAAACAACTAACAGTCGTCATAACTCTGACTCTTCTGATGTTTCTACGTCCTTGACTATGATGTCACCACCGTGTTAGCGTCGGTCAGTCACCGAGCTGCTGGTGTACAGTACGTGAGTTCAGACTTCAGCTAAAATCGCGGTACGTTTTACTTTGTCACCCATTCCTATAGTACTTGTAGTAAATGATGAACTGTCAAATACTGTCAGTGAAGTACTGCAGTTCTTAGCCACAGAGGTACTTTATCCAGTTGGTAAACACTGGTCAGTGAACTTGTCAAGATAAACCGTTCATCTATTTGTCTTCATGACAAATGTGAAAAAATAAACCTCAGTTACTGTGTCCACAAACTGGACCCAGTCCTGTATTGACTCCAGTCCAGTCAGTCTTGGACCGGGTTTGGACCCACACTGCTGACTCGGCCTCTTTCTCCTGCTGGGATTTTGATGCAGTAACACAAAAATAGCCCAACGTCGACGCTGTGGCTGTGGCTGTGCTTCAATCAGCACGGCTTGCAAAAATGATCATCCGCTCGCAGGTGTGAAGACGGCGAGCGTCGAATGAAGGCGTGAAAGTAACGGTTAAATGTTGGACGAGTGAAGGTGAAGTCGCTGTAAGTCGTTGGTTCAAAAACTGGGTTTTTATTGTCAGCGCAGCAGAAAGAGAACGACAGCTTTAATTATAGAAACCTGTCACTGTCACAGTGATGAAGTCACAGACTGTCACCATCTTCATCATCATCATCATCATCACGTTCTCAGCTGATTAACATGTGATTCATCTGTGATTCTGACAGAAATCATCACCAAACAAAAATGTCCTGTGAAAATCTCCAGTTACAAATTGAAGGTGATTCATTCTTTTGTTGATGTTTGTGGTGGTTCAGTGGTTCAGTGGTTCAGTGGTTC